TGTAACTATGGGGTATATCAAAAAATGGATGTCTGTAGTAGTTCAAGAAATTATGAATATTTTAAATTATAAATAGCAGTTAACCACGATTCCAAATGTTTGCTGATAATATTGTAGAATTAAAAAAACTTAAGCTTATTAGATCCCCTATATAGTATTGTTGTTAATGTATATATATATATATATTTATATAAATATAAATACATAAATAAATAAATATAAAAATATACTAAATACTAATTAAATACTAATAATACTAATAAATATGTATATATATAAATAAATATGTATATATAATATAAAAATATATGTAAATGTATATAAATATTTATATTTATATATATGGATATATATATATTCATATTTTAAATAAATATATATATACTTTATCTTTGTATACTAAATTATACTGATTTTGTTTAATATAAATATATTAATTAATATTAATTTTAAATAAATATATATATACTATATATATGTGTACTAATTTATACCGATTTTGTGTAAAATAAATGTATATCAATTTAATGCGAAAAATTAATAATAGTTTTCAATTGTTATAAATCTTAAATTTTTTATGGAGCTCTCGTTTTCATACAGAACCAATAAATGACTTAAGCAATTGGGCTAGTAACAGACGTTAGTTTTTAAGTTTGCATATGTAATCAGATAACGAGTTTTCAGAATTCTCATATAATTTAAAAACATTTTTAACTATAAAATGAAAGCTCTCTCTTTTGTAAAAGCACCAATAAGCACTTAGTAAATGATTTAAAATTTTTTGATTTTTGTAATAATTATTACAACATAATTTTATTTATTTTTATTAATTTTTTATTTTAAATTAAATTTACAAATTTACCTTTAAAGTAAATTCTTCACAAAACTTTATTATTACTTTTGAACAAAAAGTTCATTTTGTAAGCAGTAATATACGAGGGCTGCTTCAATTGTTTTATTTGTTGATTAATTTTAAGAACTTACATAAATCTCTAATTAATGATCATTTATCTAATATTTTGCCATAAATTTTTTTTAACAAAATTAATAAAATTTAACAATTTTTTTTATGCTAAATCCGTCTGTCCGTCCGTTAATAGGTATGTGTGAGTATATCATCATGCCTGATATAGTATATATAAAATTAATTAATTAGATATAATAAGTTCCATACAAATAAAACCTCATTTGTTGGTGAGTGTGTCGTTGTGAAAATTCACTTACTTTATCATCGTTATATTTTTGTAGTATAAAGTTATTTATTATTAATGTTAACATTTCCTATTTGTTATTATGTATTTGTTTTTTAATAAAACACAGACTTAGACATCTTCGAATAAATTGTGCATCGACTGTATACGTAAGTGAAGTGAAAGGTTTTATTTCGCTTTGTTTCATTAGTAATTTAATTTAAATTAAATTTTATAGGACAATTTCTAATTTAAAGTTTCTAGAATGAATTGGCAATTTATTGCCATATTCATCAATGACGTCTTCAATGTGTGGTTTTTAATTTGTAGTTTTTTTAAAGATACTAATATTAATTTTTTTTCTTACTGTCTGATAGCTATATAAAGTTTAAGTAATTTATTTCTATTTCGAGACGTTAATCATGAGTATACAATTTAAGAGTCGGCTATATATATATATATATATATATAATGAGACTTATATTTTCAGGATATTTTGACAGAGTGCAAAATATTACTAAATAGAGCATTTTATTACTATAAATACATTTATTCAAAAAACTTGTGTACTCATATCACTCTTTTAATCATTTTAATCAACATCATTTAATTATATTCGTAAACATATTTACTTCGTTATTTCCAATAAATTTCAATCAATCAGTCTTAATGTGACATAGACTCAATTATTTACTAGTGCCTGGTATGCCAATTATATGATAGTTGTTATTTGTGATTGTTTATTAAAAATTAATTATAAATTAGCTTAATTACATCATTTACATATAAATATTTTGCTAATGTTTTTTCAGTACTCTATGTGAAATTGAGTAAATATTGTTTATTTTGAAAAATGTGTGAAAATACGTAGTTCTAATATGTTATCCATATTCTCATTCAGACAAATTAAAACTACTAATAATAAGTATAATAAGGTCTTATTCAACTTAGTGAAAGCTATATAGACGTACATAGCACGTTTCCTGGCATTAACCTGGCAAGAACAGATAAAATGTCTGAATGTTTTACCTACAATTTTATGAAATGCGTAGATGTATAAGTCTTGTAATCATATTTTTCTATCTAGAAATCTTATGTAAATGTAGATTTAGATCTATTTGAGAAACTATTAGAGTTTATAGTGAAGATTTTTAATGTTTGTTTTGTTAACAAACAAATGTCAGTAGAAAAAAAAACTAAAAAAAAATATAAAAAAAATAAAAATGAAATTTGAAAAAAAATATAAAAATAAATTTGAAAAAAATAATAAAAAAATATAAAAGAAATTTGATAAAAAATATATAGTAATATATATAAAAAAAAATTTAATAAAGATGTTGTTGGAACAGTAGTGAACTACAACATATTGTTTTAATTAATTGAATTTTTGACTGACCATACAGCTGCTTCGAGTATTATAATATACTCATCATCACTGGTCTTGGAAATAATTCCTGCATTGAAATTTAAAAAAATATGTAAAAATAAATATAAAAAAAATATATAAAAAAATATAAAAAAAAAATTAAAAAAATATAAAAAACAAATATAAAAAATAAATAAAAAAAAGAAAAAAATATGACAAAGAATATAAAAAATAAAAAAAATATAAAAATACAAATATACAAATATAAAAAAATAATATAAAAAAATTAATAAAACAATAAGAATAAATTAACAAAAAGATTAAAAAAATTAGAAAAAAAGTTTAAAAATAAATATAAAAAAATAAATGAAATAAATTGAACTAAAAAACTGTATACAATAACTATAAATTTTATTTCGTATTGTATATAGTGAATAATGCCTTATTTCAGTTTATAATAATAGAGTCGAAAACATGAATGAACGGTTTCGATGTGTAGGAATTAGTAATACTGGTTGAAACCAGATGCAGCTCCTTCAAATAGAGGAGAGGAGGAATAGAGGAGGACTCCTTTCAAAGTCTATAACAAAACTCATCAATATTATCATTTGCTATATGCTATGCAAATCTATTTAGTTATTAGAATATATGTATATAGATAGATACACTTTAATATAAAGCACAACACGTGTAATGTAAATGAAGAGTCATTAACTGAATTTCAATGACTATCAGCGCCGAACGTGAAGGCGCACAGAAAATGTTCTATAAACGTAATTTAATAACAAAAAATAAGAGTAAAAAATGTATAGGAAATTTGTGGAGTTCCACAGTACTTGCATTTTAAGTATATTTATTTAACATTTTGTTGTTGTTTTTGTATTAAATTATTTTGTGTTTATAAATTGAAGCGATGAATTTCGATATGAAATCTTTTCATATGAACAATTCCTATTGATTTTTTTTTATAGTAAATTTTCATATCGAACGTAATTAACAGATACTTTTGTTATCAACGTAAATTGTCTATTGCCAAAATTTATTCAACTTTTTTGTATATTTTTTGTTGCTTTATTTTTGTTGCTTTATTTTTGTTGCTTTGTTTTTGTTGCTTTATTTTTGTTACTATTACTACTATTAGTGCTACCGCTCATTCAGGCATTTGTTGTTATTCTCTTTACTTAAGTTATTTGTATTTAATTAAATCATTGTATTTGTTGTTATTATTTGGTGTATTTCATGTGTTTTTTTTTTTATATTTTTTATATTTTTTTTCTTTATTAAATTCGCATTTTGTTAACAACTTTTTTTTCAAGCTGCTGCGGCTGCGGCTGTGGCTGTGGCTGCTGTTGTTGCTGCTCTGATGTCGTTGGTTTTAATTGTGGGAATTTCTTGGGTTTTTTACATATACACAAATAAACACTGCATATTTCTATAAAAATCGTCATCATTGCCAATTGAACAATTGAACAACTGACGATCAGTGAGATCAGTGTTTTAGCTTTTGTTGTTGTAACTGGTCGTTGCTGGTATTAGTGTTGATAATTTGTTCATAAACTTAACATGGTTATTGTTAGTCAGCAGCGGCAGTGCTTTTGTTGTTGTTATTTTGATAGTCTTATGTCGTTTCCAAATTCGTTATGAGCTTTTTTTATTAAGCAAAGCTCAATACAAGCAATAAATGGGAACTAACAAAAGAAATGATCTAAAACATGTTCAGCGAAAGCTTAGAGTATACCGAACCAGAAAAGCTTTTAATGGAGTTTACTATATGCTTTGAAACCGGGTTTCTCTTATTTGTTGTATAGGTTTTTATTACTTTTATTAATTTTGTTACGTTTATTAATTTTATTAAATTTATTTCTGTTATTATTTTCATTACTTTATTACATATGTAGAAATTATGCAATTTGTTATAAACTTTAGTAGTTTTAAGCTTAGTCTTCTATCAGAGCTTTTGAGAAGTATTTGGTAAAAATCTCAAAAAATAGAAAAAATAGAAAAAATATTTAAAATATCAAAATTATTTTAGACAATAAAAGTAAAGAAACTGATAAAATGGTAATAAGAAATTTCATTCATAAAAATAGCGAACGTGCAAAAATTTTAATGTCTGTAGATGTATCTGCTTTAAATATATAAATAATTGCATAAAATTATTTATATTATTTTAAAATGTTAACTATTTTAAAGTTATAATATTTTTAAAAAATTTGAACTGACACATATATGAATATAAATATATAAATATATATATATGTTTGTCTCTTTGTTAGTATGTCTTATAAGGTTCTGTGTAGTAGCTTTGTGCTTTTGTTTTTCCTAGCAATCTTTAACCCTTAAACCTTAATTATTCGATATTATAATTATACATTATATTATTAGTAATAATATTTAGAAATGTTCATATTAAAATTTTTAATTTATATATTTTATATTTTCAGGTGAGAGATGTGTTCATGTAGCTGCACAAGGCGGGCATATCGATATATTAAGAATTTTAGTTTTATATGGAGCCGATATAAATGCCAGGGTAAGTTCAAAATTGAATTCAAAATGTTTATAATTTATTGAAAATTTTTTTTTTTTGCCGCCTTTTAGGAAGGAAAAGCAGGATATACACCACTTCACATTGCCATTGAGTATCGTAATGAAGATTTGGCCAATTTCTTGCTTGATGAATGTCAGAAGCTTAATTTAGAAACAGCGACCTACGGTGGCTTAACAGCATATCAATTCGCTATAATACATAAGTCTCACATGCAAAATATCTTAGAACAACGTGGTGCTGAACCACTAACACCACCTGATAGTGATTATGACAGTAGCGACACCGAAGACTTAGAAGATACAAAGGTGAGCTTGAATGTTTAGAGACGCAAAAAATGATAATTCAGAACTTCAAAAATGTAGCCAACTCAGTGTTATTAGCAAAAAAAATTAAAAATAATCAAATTACTAAAAATTTGATTAAATTAAAAATTTAAAACTGTTGTAGTAAAATTTAGTTAGTATATTTCTTGCAAAGAAGAAAGTACTTCATTATTGTAAAAAATTGTTAGATATATATATATGGAATCATTATAGTAAAATTAACAAGTAAAAAATTTTCAAAATGAACTTAACAAAAGTTTATCAAAATTTTTAAAAATTTATAGAAAAGCACCAAATGAAGAAAATTCTCCAGAAATGCTCATTTAAACAATAAAGTTCTATGTTTTAGTAGAGCTGCTATTATAAGAAATTCATGAAGAGTGCGTGGCGTTTTGACCACTAAATTAATTAAAAAAAATTAACAAAATTATTTCTTTTGGACTTAATATGAAAATCAAATCATTTGAGTACTTAGTATCATTAAAAAAGTTCAAACTTTTATCATTTTTGTACTTTTTATTATATTTTTTAAATTGTTTATAATTGTGAGTTGTTAGAATTGTTTTTAGTTTGTTTTGTCAAAAATTTTGTTTAATTAAATCTTCCTTATTAGTTAGCAAATAATTAAAACATATACTATATTAGAAGAATTTACTTGTTTTGTTAATTTTTAATGTTGTGTACATTTATTTTATATTTTATTAAATAATTTTATTAAGGCGTAACCAACAAAATAACAAACCAATAATAGAAAATCTCAATTTTATTTAAAACAAATTAAAAATAAAATTTCATTAAAAATGTAAAAAAAAATTAAAGAGAAATTAAAAAAATTCAAAGTTATTGTTAAGTATTGTAATTCATAGATATATTCAATATAAAATAAAAAAAAATGAAATTTTGTGAAATTTAAACAAATTTCTATAAAAAATATTTAATTTAATGTGCTTCACTTTATTATATTGTATTAAAATTAGATTGTTAATTACTAAAACTAAGAAAAAAAGTATAAAATGCATAATCTGACTGATATAAAATATATATGTTATATATAAAATTAATTTTTAAACTATTCAGTAACATTAACTAACTAAATATAAGTGTATGCAAATGAATATTTGATGTTAAATTAATAAATGTACTAAATAAAATGTGTAATCAATATATAAACTATAATAACTTCAGTGTGTTTGTAGTTTCTCTTATCAAAGGTTTTGATTTGCTCAGTAAGTATCTTGAAGTAGTAAAATATTTAAATTTAATTTTATGTATTGTTTGTCATTTTGTTGGTTATAAGTAGTTAAATAGAGGTAGTATATATTTAAGGATGAAGACCATGTTGTTAGCTCCTTTGTTTATTCTGTTTTCTTGATATAGTATTAATAATATTTTAAACAGCAATTTTAAGTAAATAGAATTAGTATACATTACGAACGAAAACCAAGTAACTAGCTGTTGTTTTCTATATATTATATATAGACATATATATATATATATAGACTAAAGCCTAAGTAGTTAACTTTTTGTTTTTTCTTGTTATTATATTAATATTTTCATGAGCTATTTTAAGTGATGAAATGTATTAATAGAGTTAGTATATATTAAAGACGAAAATCAAGTACCTAGCTTTGGTTTTCTATAAATTATATTGTTTCATATTCATAAATATAATATATTTAAGTTATAATATATTTAAGATTAATATATTAATATTAATCTGTTTATTTAATCCTAAGTAGTTAACTTTTTTGTTTTTTCCGAATATTATATTTATATTTTATTGAGCTATTGTAAAAGAATAAATATATATTTATAGAGTTAGTATACATTAAGAACGAAAATCAAGTAATTAGCTTGATATATAATATAATATATGTATATAACATATAGCTATATTAAAGAATTATTAAGAAGTTAAGAAGTTATCTCGATATAATATTTATATTTCAATGAGATATTTTAAAAAAATAATTAAATAAAGCTAGTATTTTTAAACGACAAAACCCAAAGACATAGGACATAGTTAGCTTTTTTTTCTTTTTTTTTTTCTTTATAATATTATTAATTTAATGAGTCATATTAAAAAAATAAAGCTAGTATACGTTTAGAATGATAATTAAGTTAATTTCTCTCTATTTACTCATTTTTCTATATAATGTTTATATGTTGAGCTATTTTTAAAAAATTAATTAAATGAAATTAGTAGGTGTTATCGTCTTATATTTCATCTTAATTCAAATACACTTCACATCTATTGATATAATGGTTTCTAATTAAATTGAAATATATTTCATTTTAATTAAAGGTATTTTTTCCATATTTTTTATGTGTTAACATACAGTAAGTTATCTTCACTTAAATCGAACTTAAAGGAAGCGAATAAAGTGCTGCGTTTTAGGCGAAGTTTGTTTTTAATAAATTAATTGATTATAAATTGATTGATTATAAATTAATTTATTATAAATTTATTTGTTATAAATTTATTGATTATTAATTTATTTATTATTTATTTATTGAAATTTAATGGCCGACTACACAGCTGCTTTATGGCCCAATGTTCCCCTGGGAATGCAATGAAATTAAGAAGAATACAGCTGTTTAGGATATTGCCAAATATGCTTCATTAGTGGATTTTGGAAATATTCATTGGTATAATACTTAAACTGCAAATATTAGGTGTCGAACCCTGCCAAATTTGGAACACAGACTCGCATCTTACCATATGAATCCAACTTCACGCTTATATATAAAGCTATGCTTTACTCGTTTTGTAGTTTGTTTAACTCAAAATTAAAAAAAAATATATATATTTTATATAAAAATATGTATTAAATAAATATACCATAGTTGTATGTATATATCCGATCGTTTATTTTAAATGGGTTCGTATTAAGTGATTTAAATTACATATGTTTAGTTGAGTGTATTTTAAGATAGGTTAATTTTAAGCGAAAATCTTTGTATTTTATTATTTATAAATTTTTTAATGAAAAAAAACAAATTTCTTGAAAGTATTGCAGTGCTACCGGTCCGAGAAATAATACATATGGAATTTGAATTAATAGTTACAAATAGATCAATTTCTTATTTTAAATTTTTTTATTATTTTTACTATAAATAATCAATTTGAATATTATTCAATGGATGTCGTTCAACTATAGAATTCTTTCAAAGTCATTATCTGGGATTGATATATAGTGTAGGATATTTTATCAATTTAGAGCAGAGTTTTTGGCTATGAATTATTTCTATATATTTATAATTATTGTTAAAAAATATTATACATATAAAATAATTTTTCAATTATTATTTCATTTCAGTTTTTTGATCGCTACGCTCTTACTGGCACCAATTTAATGGCAGTTGCTTGAAATTCTTCCAGTTGACTTTCATTATACAAACAGTAATTCTAATGCTCCGATTTTAAGTTTCGCATACGCTTTCTATACTTTATCCAAATTTAATTAAAAATATTGGTGTATAAGATAAAAAACACGCTCAAAATTTTTATATTATATTAATAATACATTAATAAAATTATAAATTCGAATTGTTACTTAAATTGACAAAAAAATAATTTGTAAATTGTCGAAAATCGATTTTAAAATGAACAAGATCAATATGCTTTGCCTAAATCTTGGCAATATTATTTAATAATATTTAAAACTATATAAACGAATTCCATTTAAAAATTATGTATTGTTATATGTTTGTTATGTATTGTATTATGTTGTATATTCAATCATAAATCTCTTAACAAATCAGTATATATGCATAGGTGGTATACATATATGTGTGTACATTTATAATAATATTTATATATATAATAAAATAACTGATATTGTTTTGAATATTAAAGTTAACATTTTAATAGCGAATAGCGTGTATAAAGATATATTTATGTATATACTATACATATAATTGTATTGATGTATATTTGTGTATGCTAATCATATAATTAAAGATATTGTAACGAATTGTTTAATTATACAATTTTTTTTTACGAACTATACAATAAAATCGTAACTTAATAGAGCAAATCTTTTTTTATTTTTATTTTCGTTAACCGAATTCTAAATATATTTATAGGAAGACATCTTATATATAGTTAGTAGAAAAATATTTTTCAATATTATAAAAAATTTAATCAATTATTTAATAAATTGATAAGGAATTCAACATCAGGAATTCGCCTGATGAAGGCAAAAGCGAATTTACCGAAATACTTATAGGAATATACAAAATATACGATCGAAATAAAAGTTAAAACCTTGAAAAACAAAACCGACATTAAGATGTTGATATTAAAATACAGATATCTTATCCTCTGATGTCATTAAAGTTCTATTGTAAAACATAAGTTCTAATCAATTGATCAAATTAAAACTTCTTTTTCTTTAAGCAGTATTCACGGAGTATTTAATCAGAGAGCTGGAACTAGTGTATATGAACCAGGCAAGCAGAAATATATTACCGGAACTGTAATATTGACTGATAGCCAGGCAGCTGTAATCGCGCTCATATCCTACACGCGTACCATCCAAACTGATATGGGAGTGCATTGACAAGCTAAAAATACTCGGCTGGAGCAATCACGTGCACTTAATATGAATTCTGGGACATGCTGACATCCAAGGTATTGAATAGGCAGACAAAATTGCAAGAGGCACGGTCTCAAGAATGATAGGCCCAGAATCATTCTGTGGTCTAGGCAAAGCAATTCTATCCATTTTTATGAACGGCGTAGAGAAAAAAGAAAGAAGACTCTATTGGGAAAGGCTACCAAGACTTTCACAGTATAAAATGCTTTTAGGAACTTACAACCTAAAACGCTTCAAAGATTATATGGCACAAACAAAAAATAACATAAGAATTATTACAGGATTATAGATCGGTCACTGTAGATTGAATCACCTATCGAAGTTAGGAATGCAATCCAACTCAGACTGCAGGTATAGGTATAGGTATAGGTTGGAGTGGCGGCCTTGTGTCCCAAAAAGCCCACTTAAGCACAAATAAAGGCCCGTTGTGGTACCACAGGAGTTACGTTATTTGTATATAGATTTAATCAGTATACATTTAACGCCGAAAGAAAGGTAACGACTCCCCCATTATGCAAAGGAAAACCAACCTGACAGTTCTATGAACTTGGCTAGGTCCCTAACATTACAGGATGACAACTCAGTCAGGTCAGTTAGAAAAGGAGATCCAAGGATTTTTAATCTTCTTCTGGCTAGGGAAGGGCACTGACACATGAGATGGAGTACAGTCTCCTCCTCATCCTCAGAGCCACAGCCTCTACAAAAGTCATTAAAGGGGAGACCCAGTCTCATAGCATGCCTTCCTATTACGCAGTGTCCCGTAAGCACAGATACCGTAGTGCTGAGCAGGTTCCGTCTTAGTTGAAGTAGCTGACGGGTTCTTTTCTTGTCAAAGTTCGGCCAAGTCAACCTAGAAATCTGACATTGAGGTTCGTCAGCCCAGTATTGCTTGGCTATACTCAGGTATTTTTGTATGATTGCCAGTTTAACTGTAGCAAGAGGGACGCCTATATCAGAGAGGTTAATGTTAGGGAGAAGAGCACCTGCCTTGGCTAAATCGTCTGCCCTACAATTTCCTGTGATATCCCTGTGACCAGGAACCCAAATAAGTTTGACCCTAACAAACCTAGCTAGGTCATTTAGTGAAGCACGGCAGTCTTGAGTTGTGATTGATGTGGCTGAGGTGCCCATCAGTGATCTGATGGCAGCTTGGCTATCAGAAAAAATTGAGATTGGTAAATCGGATGTTCGATTGCAAAGAACCCATTTTACAGCTTGGTGAATTGCCATTATTTCGGCTTGAAAGACGCTACAGTGGTTCGGAAGTCGGAGCGAGATGCTGAGACCCAGTCTTTCAGAGAAAATGCCACAGCCGACTCGTTTATCTATTTTGGAGCCGTCCGTGTAAATGTCAACCGTTTGGAGAGGGATCGCTCTTTCAAGGATCCAGTCCTCCCTGCTAGGTATAAGAGATTCGAACCCCCTAATTAGGTCTGGGTAACAACACATGTAGTCAATAGAGACGGGAGTTGGCAGATCCTGATTCAGTATGATCGCGTGGCCTATATCAGTTCTTGACCAGCAGGAGAGGGCGTTGAGCCTAGTTGCAACTATTTTGGCTTGCTGTTTTACCAGAAGCCGAGATGGCAACCAATGAAGCATAGCGAAAAGAGCTTGCGTGGGGGTAGAGCGAAGAGCACCAGTGATTTGTAGTGCGGCTATCCTCCTAGTTTTGTCAATTAATTTGGTGTGGCATGCTTTTTCAGTTGCCTGCCACCAGAAAGCAGCCCCATACAGAAGAATTGGTTCGATAACAGCTGAATAGAGCCAGAGTATAATGCACGGTTTGAGCCCCCAACTACGACCTATAGCTCTTCTGCAACAGTAGGTGGCGCATACCGCTTTGCGGGCTCTCTCAGCCAAGTTGTCTTTCCAGCTGAGTTTAGAGTCCAAAATTATACCCAGATATTTGACGTTCGAACTTAAATTTAGAGTAACGCCCTTTATCTTTGGTAAGGAAAATGTCGGAATTTTATATTTCCTGGTGAAGAGAATAACCTCTGTCTTTGCAGGGTTAATATCCAGACCGAATTCCCTACACCATTCAGTTACAATGAGGAGCGCAGAGTTAATAACATTGGATAGAACTTGGGGGAATTTGCCAGATGAGGCAATAGCAATGTCGTCCGCATAAGCTATAACACTGCATCCGGATTGTTCCAAAAGTTTTAACAACGAATTAACCGCTATGTTCCATAGAAGAGGAGAGAGAACCCCACCTTGTGGCGTTCCCCGACAGACTGCTCTGGAGGATTGAACACTTCCGATGTCGGATGTGATAATCCTAGTTTTGAGAAGGGCCTCTACAAATTTAACCAGACTATTGTCGAGATTTAACTTTGAGAGGGATTTTATGATACCATTGGGGCAGACATTGTTGAAAGCGCCCTCAATATCGAGAAAGGTGGCAAGTGTGTATTCCCTGAGAGAGATGGAATGGTCAACTTGCGAGATGAGTGCATGAAGCGCAGTATCGACAGACTTGCCTTTAGTATAAGCATGCTGTGATGGAGATAAGAGCGCTGGGTTTATCTTGTTCCTGATATGCAGATCAAGAACTCTCTCCAGTACTTTCAGAAGAAAAGAAGACAGACTGATTGGTCTATAGTCCTTGGCACTGCAGTGAGTTATTTTTCCTGCTTTGGGAATGAATATTACTCGAGCCACTCTCCAGCAGCTTGGAACATACATAAGCTTAATACAACTGTTGTAAATGCTTAGAAGCCAGGGGAGGATTACGAATTCACCCTGTTGAATATCTGCGGGAATAATTCCGTCCGGACCTGGAGATTTATACGGTTTAAAAGTTTGGATAGCCCACTTTATTTGAGTGTTGGTCACTTGAAACAGTTTAGGATTATTTAGAGGTGGTAAGCTGATTTGAGTTGACAAGTCAGCATCAGAGGCTACACTCCCTGGGAAGTGCGAGTCCAGAAGGGTGTCGAGAGTTTCCTTACTGGAGTTGGTCCATTGACCATTTGGAGCCTGGATACAATCGAGTGTCTTATGGGTAGAATTGAGGATTTTGCGCAGTCGGCTTGACTCGGAAGATGATTCTATGTTGCCACAGAAATTTTTCCAAGCTGCCCTTTTGGCCCGCCTAATGGCATATTTAAATTCTCTTTGTTTCACTTTATATGGAGTCCAGTTACCTGTTGATTTAGCATCGTTAAATCAGACTGCAGATACTGTAGAGAAGATAGAGAAACCGCATACCTTGTGGCGGAGTGCCCCGCACTGATGCACAAGCGGAAGAAACACCTAGGAGGGTATTTTATGGTTTATAAGTATTCAAGGCTAGGAAACATAGGACTTGGAGAAACATTCTATTGCGACTAAGGGGCACAATAGATCTTTTAGGTTGCAGTACGATATGATATAAAATGACCTTTAGGTTGGAAAGAAATTATATTATCAGAGAGCAGAAATCTAACGTTGATAAAACAAAATAATACATATGTAAAAACGTATTTATTACATATTAAGGTTGAAATGGTTTTAGTTTTGTAATATAAATTTATGAACGACATATAGTAGAGATAAACTACTTTGTTTATAAGTGATAAAGTTATAATTTTAATAAAAGTTTTATTTTCTTATTCTCATTCTCGAACTGGGCTCTTCCTCTATCTCTCATTTTTATCTACATTTCGATATAAATAATAATACCGTTTTTGCCAAAAAAACCCACGTCAGAAGGGGAGAATAATTCTTGACCCAGTCCCCTCCTCCTTGCTCAAATCAAGACTGGACAGTTACAGAAAATGTGACTAGAAGTCTCGTCTGCTTCTAAGCAGAGTCGACAGTCTATCTCTTTGGACAGATCCCTTTTGTTAATTTTGTTAATGTGATAATGCAAGCCATAGTGATCCGTTAAATATCCCCCCAGAAACCT